ATGTGAATATGTGAATGTGTTTGAATGTGAAAGTGTGAATGTGTTTATGTGTGTGAGTCAGAGCTGAGTGAAAGTGTGTGTGTCTGGACATACATATGTGTGAAGTGTGTGTATCTCTAAGTGTGCAAATGTAGGCAAGTGTTTGTGAGAGTGTTAAGTATGTGAAGGTTTGAACATGGGTATGTGAGTGTGTATTTGTGTGAGTATTGGTTTTGTGTGTGTGTCTGTGAATGTGTGTGTTTAACAGTGCAGATGTGAGCATATAGACAGGTGTTTTGTGTGAGCCTGTGAGCATGAGTGTGAATGTGAATGTGTACAAGTGTGTGAGAAATTGAAGGCATGTGAGTCTGAACATCTGAGTGTGAAACAGTGAGTGTGAGTTTATGTGAATGTGTTAGCAAGTAAGTGGTTGCATATGAATGTGAGTCTGATAGTCTGATTGGGTGTGTGCATATGTCTGTTCAAGTGTCTGGTGAGTCTTAGTGTGTGAATGTGAGTGTGAATGGCATGTGTATGGAGTATGTCTGAGTGTGTGTGCAAGTGTGGGAATGTGAGGATATATATGGGGAAGTGTCTATTTATGTTAGAGTTTATTGTATGTGCCCATACAATGTATCAGTATGTCTGTATAAATGTGTCAATGTGTTTTTGAGTCTTTGTGAATGTGTGAGTGTGTGACTGAATGTGTAAGAGTGTGTGTGTGCACAAACCTGAGTGTGTGGTGTGTCTGTGATAGTGTCAGTGTGTAAGTATGTGTTTCCATGTGTGTGCTAGTGCATGAGCATGTGTGTGTACATGAGTGTGGAGGCCCAAGGCTGACATCAGGAAGCTTCCTGGATTGTTCTCCACTTTATTTAGGTGAGAGGCAGCGTGTCCACGGAACCCGGAGCTCACAGACATGACTGGTCCAGCTAGCCAGTCCCTCTCCTTATTGTTTGTGCCAGTTTATGCCCAGTTTTAGGAGATGTTGCAGCATCACATGCCCTCTTCTGTGCTTCGTTTTCTACACTTCAGAAAATTCCACCGTGGTCTCAGCAGTCATTCAAGGCAGAGATTCCAGAATCATAGTTTTTTTCCTTTCCTTTCCCCTCCAAAATTTAACAAATTAGCAAGCCTACTTGTTCTACTGCCAAAACGTTCCTATTCTCCCGGGCGTCTCTCTCCTGCTCCTGCTCCCACCTCATCCCGTGATCTCACACAGCAGCTCTGCTCTCCGTCCACTGCTGGCTTCCTACAATCGCTCTCCGTACAGGAGGCAGAAGGCGCTTCTTAAAGCACAGGCCACGGCAGTCCTCTGGTTGAACACTTTAGCTTTGAAAAGGACAAATGTCTCATCGATTTAATTATAGCAAGAGCTACATTGTTGTAATAAAAGCCTCAAAATACTGTGGTTTAAATAAGATAATTTATTTTTCTCTCATCTAACAGTCCAGCCTGGCGTTCTATTTTCATTTCTGTGGCTATGACAAAATACCCTGACAAGAAGCAGCTTGGGGGAGGAGAGGGTTTATTTGGTTTACAGTTCCTAGTTACGGCCCATCGGTTTGGAGAAGGCAAGGCAAGAATTCAAGCCGGGCAGTGGTGGCGCACGCCTTTAATCCTAGCACTCGGAAGGCAGAGCCAGGCGGATCTCTGTGAGTTCGAAGCCAGCCTGGGTTTCAAGTGAGTTCTAGGAAAGGCGCAAAGCTACACAGAGAAACCCTGTCTCAAAAAACAAACAAACAAACAAACAAACAAACAAAAGAATTCAAACAGCTAGTCACACCACACCCATAGCCAAGAGTAGAGAGTACACAGGCATCTTTGCTTGCTTGTTCACTGTAGCCTAGAGATCTCTAGTTATTTACATGTTTAATTTATTTTAATTTTATGTGTATGGTTGTTTCCCTGCATGTATGTCTGTGCAACATGTGCATGCAGTGCCCACAGCTGCCAGAAGAGGATGTCGGATCCTCTGGAACTGGCGTTATAGACAGCTGTGAGCTGTCATGTGGGTGCTGGGAATCAAAGCCAAGACCTCAACAAGAGCAGTGCATGCTCTTAGCCACTGAGCCCTCTCTCCAGCCCAGTTTTCTTTACTCTTAGGCAGTTCAGGACCCGGTCCACGAAACAGTGCATCCCGCAATAGGTTGGGTTTGCCATCTGATCTAGACAGTCCTCCATGGAGGCTCTCCTCTCAGATGTCTCTAAGTTGTGGTGTGTTGACATTTAAGATTAACCACCACCTCTGGTAGGATTGTTCCATATAGTCATTTGGGAGTGACGTTCCTCCCATCTTGTCCTCCATCCCTTCAACTAGTACATTGTCTTTATTTGAATGGTTGTCACTCAAGGCAGGAAGAAGAAAGGAAAAACATAAACAATTGCCCTTCAATCAAGTGAGGGGGCTATTACACACATCTTTCCTGCTCACGCTCCCCTGGTATTAGCTTTTGTCATGTGCTTTCACCCCACTGCAAGGAACGCTGGGAAATTCAGTAACTAAGTGCCCCTTCTCTTCTGAAGGAAGGAAAGGAGAATTGACTTGGGGAGAATGGCCAATAGTCTGTCATCCCCATGATGCCATCACAGCCTGATTACCTAAACCCTGAGATCCCCGTGACACCTCCGACGTCTTTCTTCTTTCACTGAGTCTGAGGCGTGGTGGCTTCCTTTCTGCTCCTTACACACTCTGAAGTCATGCCCACTGCAAGCATCTTGCTTGCTCTCTCCCTGGAGTGCTGCCCAGTGGTCCTTATAATCTTCATTGTTCTTCCCTTCAGGTAACAACTTGGAAACACCCCCTCCTCAGGGAGGTCTTCCCTGACCCCACTCCTAATGTCATCCTGTTCCTCGTGAGCCAATGTCTTCATTGTACCCTCATTTTATTTTTTTCTTGGCACCCGGGTTTTTATAAAACCGTTCATTTATTAGCTAGCTCCTCATTGTGGGCTGGGGTCTGTGCAGGGAGGCTTTATTTGTCTAATTCTTATTCACTGCTGTAACCTGAGTGCCAAGAACACTGCACAGACATAGTGGCTTGGCTGTCCAACAAATACTTGTTTAGACAAGTTAAACAAAAGGATTCTAGCAAATACATCCTCATCTTGTCCTTGTACGATCTTCTTGTAGAACAAAATACTGGTCTTTGCCTTGACACCCCCTGGTTTCATTTGGCTCCTGGTCCTAGTCTCTAGATCTCTCTTTGGATTTGATTCTGGCTCAGTCCACTGCCTATGGACTAGCAGGTCCTTCCCCTGTCTCCTACTAGTTGGCCACTTTGTGCCAAGTCAAAAGGCGCGCAAGGTGCTATGCTTCTTTAGTTGACACACACTTACTGCAACAGTCTCTCATATGAGCTCTGTGACCCCTGAGCCTGTGTGCACATCGTGAATTAAGTGCGAGATAGTTGAGGAACAAAGGGTTGGAAGATGTAGATGATAACTCCAAGCCTACTCAGCACTGAAGAAAAATAATAAACGAAGCTTAAAAACAATGTCACTTCCCTGTTTGCGGTCTTGATGTTCCCATCTGTAAAACAGAGGTGGCCACCCATCCTGCTTTCCCTGTAGACTGTGGATCAGATGGCAACAATCTTAAAATCCTATTGACATAGATGGGAGAATTCCAGGCAGAGCCAGGGAGAGCAGGGAATATGGAGAGCATCCTCTGGAGCCTGTTTCCAAAACTAGCAATGCCTGTCGCTGTACACAGCAGAGCATCCTGGCTCCCTCCCTTGCTTTTGATGCTGAGCATAGACACCTCCTCAAAGAAACTGTGAAAGAAAGGAAAAAAAAAAACCTTTTGAGCTAAATGAGAAGATAGAGGCCTTCCTAAAAAGGGGTGTTTTTAAATGCTGTTACAATCAGTTTAACCCAAGTGTTTCATCCTGACACAGTCTTTCAAAAACGCCTGAGAGTTTGGCATTCACAACAAACAAACCCTTGAAATCCTTTTCATGCATTTCTTAAAGCCCACATACATAAATGATGCTCATGCCTCAAAGCTCCCTGTTCTTTTTTCATCTCCCAAATCTCCTGATCCGGGCCTTACCCTCTTCTCTCCCACATTCTGCTGTTTCCGAGTTGATCAAGTCAGACCAGACCCCATGGTCTGAGCTCTCCTCCTCCTTTATTTACACTGTAAATAGGAGGCCCTAGGCTGGCTGTTTCCTATCTTTTCTAATTACCACCAGATTTGTTGCCCTTTAGATGTAAAGAAGTTGAGTTTCAGAGATGATGGAGGAGAGAAGAGCAGACTCCATGTCTTCCTGAGACTGAGTTGTTGTTGTTGTGCTGTGTTGTTGAAGTGTCTCAGTGCCTCCCTTCTGTCT